AATAACTAAAGGGTTTTTAAGGAATGAGGAGGGTCTTTGAGCTGGTTTTGTAGAGTAGCCACAAGTTGCAGAGTAAAGTATAATAGAATACAATTCTTAAAAAAATTGTATAGAAATTGTAAAAGAAATAAAGGAAATTGATTGTGAAGCTTATGTAGTCTGGCTAACACTTGACATTTTAAACATAAGGGGAAACCTTTGTGTTTAAATGGATGGTTGTGCATTATTAACTGTCTGTTTTAGACTAAAAACTAATTCATTTCATAATATTGTAATCGAGAAAGAACTACTAAAATAAGGAAAACATAACACCAAAAATGTGCATGAACTTGAGGTAAGCTGTCAAATATAGCTCATTTTCACGCCCATTTAAAATAACATTCCTAATTTTCCAGATTAAAGTCAATTTCATTGTAATGTGTGCTTACATGAAATTTTTTTATGTCAGAATAAAAAATTCCAGTCTAACTCTTATAGCGTTAAATTGAATAGTAAGAAAGTCATTTGAAAGTTTATTAAACCCAGTAGAAATTTAATGCCATCTACTGAAAAACGTTATTACACATTATTTACATACATTTTTTGACCTTATTTATTGTACCTCTTAAAAATATTGCTTATTTAGGTTTTTAAAGGAAGTGAATGCTTAACAGTAAAACCTAATTTTCTTACATCGAAAGTTAACAAGATATGTATGAGTGAACATAATCAGTGCATACCACCCATACTAAGCGGCGGATGACTAATTGCGCGGCCTGTAAACTTAGAAAAATTTGTGGGACTTTAAGTGATATAACTTTCTCCCAAAAAGTTCAGTATTTTGAGGACGTTTCCGTCTCTTATGCTCCATTGCCTTTGCTTCAGTTTTGTTACTCATAGTGTAAACATTATAGAATAAATTTAAATTTCGAACGAGATAAACTCACTACTTTGTGAGTTCTATACATAGAGCATTATAATAGTATATCGTAGAGTTTCCAACAGGATATATTATTGAAATTTTGATCATTTATCTCATCTAGAATGGCAAAGAGTAAAAACTATGTTTAGAGAGAACAGGACTTTTAAAAACGCGAGAATGTAAGCTTCAGCCCACATAGCCTACTGAGTAATCGGACAACGGCCATATTTGTCTGTTCTTGGAATAAGTTCATAAAGCTACAATCCATTGGTTGAACACATTTGATGCCATATTATTGAGGTGCACTCATTCTCGGAGGTCTGGAAGCATGTCTGTCAAAATGCTTTTTAAAGATTGGATTTACAGAATTCTTAGTTTAAGAAAGCCAACCAATAATAAACCCAAGACCGTCTAATATGGTGTATCTAGGTTAGCAGGGCCATAGCTAGATTACTAACTTCAGGAGGAGTTTTAAACATAACCTTAACCCTTACCCTAACTCTAACCCTACCCCCTCGTTAATGTAGAGAAACTCAAAATGTGTTAATGTTAACATATGCTATTGTCATTTAGAGAACCACACACTTTCAATGTTGTGTGCTGGGGAAGTTTTAAGTGTATTGAAGGTTTTCATAAATTTATTACTGATTTCCTACTTGATTGTTATGATAATGATGAACTTGTATGTGTGGCTGTGAGCCTTAATTTTGTGATTACATGTAAAATGTAGATGCAGCAAATTCCTTGCACAGAAGCAACAGCACAGAGAACAGCTCAGGATTCTCAACAAAGAACAAAGTTTTAAAACTGCACAGAGATTCTCTTTATTCATGATCGGTGATAAAAAATATTGATAAAGACAGTAATAAATCCATACCTTGGCAAGAGTTACATTCTCCTTAGTATCCTTCCATACACGTGCATTTCAATTTTCCATTAATTTTACGATAGTATGTGTTGGGTCCACACAAAGGAAAGTGAAAAGTGCTTGTTGCTATATCGATCAATAAAATTAAAAATAAAATCAACCAGGGATTTTAAACAAAACATATTCTTCCTCAAAGAACACAATTTGTCACTCAGTATCCACGTTCACGTACCCAGCAAGCAAATTTGTTATGCAATGTTGGTATTTTTGGTGTTACGCATTTCGTAAAAACAAAACAATTAAATAAATGATGAAAATTTACAGAGTATGAACAAATTTGCTGGCTGTTTGGGACACTATAAAGGATATACTAAAGAAGTTAGATAATTGAAAAATGCTCAGAAAATTATCAATTCATCAGTAGTTCTCACAAAATGTGTCAAAGCTCATGTATTTTTGGCATGGCTTGCCTTGTTTTTTATTTAAAATAAAATGAATAAAATATTAATTTTGAAAACCATGAGAGTACTTCGTAATCGCCTCAATTTGAACAGCATGCACAAAGAAAATGAAAAGTTTCCAATCTAGTTTAATCCAAAGATGTAAAAGTTTAAACTCTGTTTTGCAATATACTGAAATATTAAGAAATTTAATAAACATTAAGCTCACTGCAGAACATGCTCAATTTGGACGTTTTTGTCTTACAATCTATTTTCATGATTTTTTTTATTTAAGACAGATTTCAAGCCCAAGTGATTGTTTAAATGATGTAAGAAACAATAAAGACTTAAAATAACACCCAAGAAGTTTGATATGAATAGACAAACGGCAAAAATGTCCAAATTAGACACTTTGCACTTTGAACTTAATGTTCATCAAATTTTCTATAATTTTGGAAGGAAGAACAACCGTTTACTAAGGCAATGTAACTTTGAACTTTTTAACGTCTTTCTATTTTATGAACATTAGCGTGGGAGTTTTTGCAAGTCTTAGATTATTATGTCAAATTAGTAAATATTTAACTACCGTTTGATTCAGGAGTAGTACTGTGTACAGCTACATCAAGATAACCGTTGTTTACAGGAAGAAAAAATTTACGCCTTGTACGTTGATCTGTTGTGTTATGGACACTAACGACACTTCGTCCAACACTAGTCATGATATAAATAAAATCCCCAAATACTGCCATGGGACCTCCTGAAGTTCCAAAATCAATTACATTATGGGAGTAGTAATCATAAGAAAAAACATTTCCGTTTGAAACTCGCCAATAAATCTTCTCTTTTGCCATGTCAAGCGTTAGATCAAGTGCTATTGACTGAAGTGAAACTGAAAAAATATGATGTTTATTTGCAGTCATGCTCCATAACCATAAGAAACGTTCTGTACTTTCTGCCAAGAATAGATACCTTAATAAAAATATTTGTTTTGTACATTCGTTTTCTCTATACGTACTGAAATACATAAACAATTGGCAAGCTGATATATGCAAGAAAGGAAAGATGGAATATTTTTTTAGTTTAGACAAAGATGTTGTCAAAGTATTCAGAACTACCTTCATATACAGATGGTTTGATGGAACATATTCATAAAATTTGATAATATAGCAACATAAAGCTATTGTAACTAATAGGAAAAGATCACCTTCATCATTTGAAATCTCTCTTTTAAAAACCGAACTAAAATATATGAAGTAACTAAATATTGCATGTGGTTCAGAACAAAATAATAAATGTAATATGTTATTTTTATTCACATAAATTTTATAATGATTGGTATTGTTTGCGATCATTGTCAGAATGAGTAATGATGTAGTTTGGAGTGGCTGCTGAATGAATTGTGGTGGTAACTGATAATGCTGAAAATTAGCTGATGCGTGGAATTTTTGTTCGAATTGAAAAATTGGTGTTGGTAAATGATATGCACCATTTCATGTAGATATAAAATTAAGAAAGCTTTGTCATTTCAATTTTAAGCTTTCTTAATTTTTCAGTTTCATCTTGCATGAAAAGTAGCAGCTCCTTGGATGGATCATCGTCCACAAATGTCTTTAAAAGAGCTATAGCTTCAAAAACATTGTTTTTGTTGATACTTTTTTTTCTGCTTGTTTGGAAAAACGATTTTTTAAAACTATCTTAACCTTCTCTTTTTAATTGTCAAATTTTTTCATTGTTTTTCTGAAAAATCAGAAAAAGATTGACACTGGAGCTAAAGGTATTGGCATCATTTAAAAATGATAATTCTATCGCCATGTCATATTCGTGTTTTTAAGAATCTTTGGATTGGAGAAGCTGCAAAACCTGCTTGAACACTATGGCCTTTACTTTATCGAAAATTTTTGATGCAACTGGCAGTTTTGATTATCTAAAAACAAAAACTCTTACCTTACTTAAGAAAACCCTCCAATAGATTGACATAGTTTATTAATTTTACGCTTACAAGTAAATGAAAAGAATTTCAAAATCGCCTTACCCATGTTTTGAGTCAAATGCAATGCTGGAAAATTGTAAGCCTGGTTGAAGCCTCATAACACTTGTAATTTTCTTTTTCAAATAAATTTGGTAGATAATGTTCGTGGAGTCAATGTAAAAGATACGACGACCAATCCAGTCAACTGTAATATCATGAACAGAAACATTTTTCGCAAAAATTTCATTTCTAGTCAAGTCAAGATTTCCCCGTTTGATGTCTTTGTCATCAATGTAGTAAAGCACATTCTCAACTACATCAATTTCTATGTCATTATATCTTGATGCATGGTCAGATTTATTCTTACTGGCGCCATTAATAGTGCTGACATAAATATCTCCAGTAATAGAATCAACAGAGTATAATTTATCAAAGCTCATAATAATCAAATATGGCTTTGGATAAACATCTAAATAAATAATAAAAAAAACTATAAATAACAACGATGAGAGTGGATTGAAAAAATGCAAATTTTTATAGACTTTACGATCATAAAATTTAGTGAAAGACCAGAATAAGTATTTTTAGAAAGAATTTTTCACTATAGAACTATTACTAATAACTGAAATTAGATTGGCTGCACAACCTCTACCTATTTTTGTTGAATATTGTTTTTGGTGCTATGAACAAGAAACTATGAAAATTTGTCAAAACTAAAGATTATACCTTTGTAAAAACACATTTCAGTTTGCATTTGCATCATTTCTTTGTTGTATTGTCTTACTTCCTTGCATGCAGTTGTGTTATCGTCATTGCCATTTTTATCAACGCAAGTTTCCATCCATTCTTTCACGTTGTCTTTTAATGTCTCTAAGCTTTTCTTGCAGATTGATATGTCGTCATTACCATTTACTATTTGGCCACTAATAGACAGGATTATGAGAGTCCCAAGAAACGCTTTTGTTGAGCTTGATATCATCTTTTTTTTCTATTTATTAGAAGGTGGACGATTACTATTTCTTTAAAGCTTTTGTAGTAAAACATTTACTTTATTTATGAAAGGCTTATCATCAATATAATCATATAATCATTTGTTCTTAAACTTTTTTTGGTATACAAGACAAGTATTGATTGCTATAATTATGTAACATTTTAACTTCCTTCTCCAAAAAGTATTTTCACGTTTGCTTTCAGATAATTTATGATGATTAGATATTGTTGCAATAGATTAGACAAATTGTTCATTATAAAGACTCATGTTTACAACAATTCATATAAGTAGAGTTCACCCGCCTAGAACGTGTTTTGAATAAATGGATGTAACGTTTCTAGGAAACGAAAGCATAGAAAGAAATAAAACATTTCAATGTCCACTATAAGGAAATGACGCAATATATGAAATTCACCAAGAGCGGTTTAGAAAAAATTTAAAATGGGTTGATTTCAAATTTGCTCATGTTAACTCAGTTTACCAGATGAATGGGAAAGACGTATTGCTTAACTAAGCTAGCAAAAATAAATGCCAAATAATCTGTAGCGCAGTGTTTAACAGACTCGCTGGCCTCTCTGTAACTACATGTCGTCTAGTTAAAAAAATGGAGGCCGTTAAACAATACATGATATTCTGCTTTACAACATCTGTCAATCGTATAGAGAAGTTCGACTCTTATAATTATATAAATTCTGAATTGAATGAAATTTATGAGCATTTCGACAGAATTGCTAAAGTAAAAAAAAGTCTAAAGAACTAAATAGAGGAATTCAACTTTGAAGTATCAAAAAGTTTTAATTCTTCAAATATTTTGTTTCGGACAATTAAAAGGCGTTTTCCATCTGTTAAAAATATTCTTGCAAAATTGAATAATTGTAGCAGGAGAAACAAGAGACGAAAAATGTATCATTTGTTTTGCATGCATTCCTTGCTTTTTAAAATGACTTCTGAATTGATGTTTGATGATGATTTGCCCCATTTCAATTTGTTGAATTATGTACCTCTCTTTCTTTATCATTTCCCTCAATCCTAAAGCTTAGTTTTAATGTCCAATCAAATATTCTTTATCACACATGGATTCAAGTTTTAGTTTACTATCATTCTCATGTAAAAACGTAAAACAGTTTGCAAATATTTCATTATTCTTAAATGTCTATGATAGTTAAAAAACTTTTTTTTGTTATCTCAATTTAGAAAAAATACTTAATGATGGTTGCTTCAAATATTTTTGATGTAGCTGCTATTTTCTCTGGCGTATCATTGGAAATATGATATAATATATTTCCAGACATTCATAAATATAAATAAGTAGAACTTTATCTTTAGTTATGATCCATCAATTCGTTTTTGTTTCCATCATAAGGATAAACATAAAATGATAAAAAGATTTGCGAAACGGTAAAAGATTTTTAAAAAATTTTAGACCAGTCAAATTACCAAATGGCAGCTATGTATAAATCATGATTAGCTGCGCTACTCTAAACTACAGAAAATGTTTAAAAAAACATAGAAAAATGTTTCCTAATGCTTTAAGTATTTTATAAGATAAAGATTGTGTTAGATTATCTGTTGGATTGCGTATAAGCATGACTATGATAAATGAAATGTATGGTCTTCATAAGGAAGTTTAATCCATAAGAGGTATTGTTCTTAAATTATGTGATAGGCTCTGAATTTTAGGTTTTCTTTATGTTTTCGTTACTTACCATTGAAGAGGCAATTTGGCTATCAATGAAATTTCTCTTTTGAATTCTGACGAGTTGTTTTCTATTCTTCTCAAACAGCAGCTTAGAAAAAATTTAACAGAAGCAGAAACTGTCTTGTCCTATATTGCTAGTAATATTGGCTTTTTGAATTCTGATATCAACACAAGACAAGTACTTTTCTGTGGACGGGGCACATATTTTGATGATTTTTAATTATATTTTGGATAAAGAGCCGTAATTGCAGAAATTTAGTGTCAGAAAAAATATGCAACAAAAATATTGTTTCAACAATTCGAAGAAATACCATTTACATTGAAAATAATAGACCAAATTATTTTAATTCCTTATAACAACACCCCGTGAAGAAATATGATTATTTTGACGTTATTCAAATTGGTCAACTATTTCAAGTGTCTCTATAAACTAAAAGGAAAATGTGCACTGCAGATGTTAGTTTCCGTTAATAGATAAAATACTATAATGCAAAAAGGAGTATTGTCTATAAGCAACTTTTGTTTAATTTTATAGCTCATTATAATATTGTCATTGAATGCAAAAACGTTCTCTCAAATTTATTCAGTTTCTTCAAAAAAAAACACTTTCTGAAAAAAAAATCTGCAAAGAAATGTCTCTTTTGTTACGTTGCTTTTGTAAGATTGTGTGACAGGGAATTTTTAATATTGATTGCAAAAAAATATAAACACCTCTTAAAAAAATTCTTTTTAATGTATAAAATATTCAACAGCTTAATTCCATTGACGTAATTATAATAGCGTGCTTTAAATTTGCATTAAAATTTTCACGAAGACACTCATATAATATTTCAGTTAAGTTGTTCATTCTCTTCTTTGAGTCACGCAACGTCAAGAGTTGTGAATTTTTAGGTTTGAGAAGCCAGTTAGAGAAGTCATAGGACGTAGATGTGGCTCTAACACGCCTTTTTAGAGATTTTACATTATTCATCATGTTTCTAATAAACTTTGCTTCGTCGGGTATCAATGAACCCAATTTATTCATCTTTTATGTTTTAACATCCATCCAAAATTCTCTATGCATGATGTCTTATAAGATTTTCCTTGCATTTACGCAGCATAATAGAAACGCTTTACCTGCTGCTTTAATATTTAAATTTTAAAAATTGTTTGTGTGGGAGAATAAATTAGTTTTTTCTTCTAGCAGCTGAAAAGCTGTTTTGTAAATTTCCAATTGAGTATATTTACAATGTATGGATCTCTGCAAAGTAAGAAATTTCATTATAATTTTGCTATTATTCAACCGAATAGTTTTTGATATATTACAGAGTTAAACTTTTACTAGTTGACAGAGGTCATTTTAATAAAATATGTTGTCATGTAGCAAGGTAAACTATTTGTTACAAAGAATTCGTTGCTAATGTCCTTTTCTGTGGACATTTAAATGTCACTCAATCTATTGACTTCTTATCAAACCATGCAATCACAGATCTGATGCAGAAAAATAACTGAACAACAAACACACTAAGAAATCTATTTGAAAAATAAGGCCAAAACTCCTTTGTTAAAGATTGACTGTTTTTTTGGTTTCGCGTTCATACTTTGCCAGCAAAGTAAGAGAAACTTTAAAAAATGACTAACTACAAAAACCAACCTATGCAACTATCTTTATCGAGCAGCTATGAACATGCCACAAAGCAGACTAATCAAAGTGCTTGTTCAACACGACAATATCATAGAGCACGACACGTCATTTAAAAACAGATGGATTTAATTATATACTTTGTACTGCATGTCACAAGGTGGTTTATAAAGCTGCTATCGAAAAAATGCTTCCGCCAATACCTTTATGAAGATTTGAAGAATACATTACCACCGACTTTCTCTTCTACTTCCCGAAACAGCTTGAGACAACAAATAAAGTTGATATTCTACGGAATATCTTATCTTGTATTCAATATAGATTCACTGGAGAATGTTATCGATTTTGACAAACTTTGAATATATTATGGCTCGGAAAAGAAAATTCAAAAATGTCCCAGTATACGACATAGTAAGCTTTCCTAGCTTTAACAGCTCTTTAAGCTAGCTATTATTCCATCCATTAACTGAATGTGACACAGTGTCTTATTTTGGAGGGTGCGACAAAAGAAAACTGCATTGGATGCCTGGAAATTAATTCATCCTCAACGGACTATTGAACCAAACAATGACATCGTCAGAAGAAAAAATCACAAAGCAATCTATGGACGTTAGTGAGAGGTGTGTGTTGCTGTTGTTTCATCGAAAGAAAAGAAAATGATACAAACTGATTAAATATGCATGCAAAGGAAAAGTCAGTGCAAGTACTTTAAAGGCAATCTGTATTTAAACTGCGCTTTGTAATATGTCTTTTATCCATTGCATTTTTACGACAGCTGTACGACCAATTTCGTATGAAAAATCAGTTTCCTCGTATTCACAATTTATTGATTGGAACTTTACTGAACTGATTAGCAAATAGTTCATGTTAAATCGATGTAGGCAAATGAACCAGTAAAATTGTCTGAATGTTCTGTTTTAAGAGCTTGATGCACTACTCTTGTTGAAAAAGCTAGATGTCAACAAAGTACTATATTTCTGGCAATAAATGCAGGAATTGACCAAGTGACCATTTTACACAAACTGTTATCGGTGGATAACTTCGCGAGTTTTTATTGAATTCACTCAAATACATGCTTAAAATAATCGCTGTATGTTCCTTTTTCAAATAAACTTTAATTGGATGAATTTCGATACAATACAGTGGTAAGAACTACGAAAAACCTCATTTTTGTAATACAATCTACATATCTTTTGCCCTGTTGACGCCGCCATATTGAATAATCATGATGGCCCAACGCGCACACATATAATATGTACGCACCTATGACTACTACATCTATGGTAAAAATAGATATTTTAATATGGCGCAAAGCTCAAATTTAAACACGGTAAACAATTACAGACTTGTATTGTCATGTTATATCGCAAGCTAAGCAAAGAAGATAAACAATTGAACATGCCTTGTATATTTTAACTAGTCTGAGGCAACGTATTTTAAAAATCTCTGTTGTAAAAGCACTTCTACTTTGTTTTGAAAAAATGCAGCAACCCTTATTCAGCGTTGATTGTTATTCTTTGAA